ATGCCAATATTTATTGAAAAATATTGGTAGCTGGACCGCTCCCACAAAAAACCCAAGCCCAGCCACAGTCCCAGGACCAACCGGATCCCGAATCGTGACTAAAAAACAAAGCTCAAGACCCAAAAGGGAATCTAAAATGTTCAATAGACGAACATTCGTGAGTGGGTGTGCATGTATTTTTCCGACTACGTAACTGCCATCAAGCGGAAGTTAAAAACCGTGTTTTGATTTGATTGCGCATCGAAATTTCACATGTGTCTGCCCATCCTCCCAGCTTCCGCATCCTCTGCTGTTAACTGATGCATTTGGTTTGGTTCAGTTTGAATGCCCCCAAAATGCAAAATGCAAATGTTTTACATTGTTGAGGCCGCAGCGCGTTTAGTTTATTTTAATTTATTTAGTTTTGTTCGTTTGTTCGTTTTATTGGCCGCGCACATGGCATAAGGAACAGTGTAGCCAGAATCTCAGTGGGGGGTCGTGTTTTGTTTGGTGGATTTATTGGAATAGCAGGAGTCAAATGGGATGAGCGGTATGACCAGTACGATCAGATGGGTCATACGAGAAGGGACGTGTGAGACGCTTATTATCAGGGCCAAATGCTTGTTACTCAGTACTACATCTGTCCCTTAGCGGTTTTTGTCAAATTTTACATTTTTTCTTCATCTGTCATCTAAATCTACAACACTTCTCAGTTGCGCAGACGAAGTTTGTTTTATGATTTCTTATATTATTATTTCCGTTTTAAATATCGTAAATGAATTGATGAAGCTGCAAAAAGTTGCAACTGTAACTTAACTGAAACCATTTTCTCTCTGTTCATTTTTTCTGGCTTAAGCAATGTTTGTAATTCTGGAGTTAAAAGTGCGTATTATGGAATGCTTGTCTCGATTTGATAGAAAATATGAATACGAATTTATTTTAGGTAGAATTTTTCTGATACACTTTATATTATAAAACTGTAGAATGTTGTTTTTTTAAGCATTACATCTTTTGAATAAGTAATAAGTAAATAGGTATCGTCCACGACACCGATACATCGAGTGGAGATACCAATAGGTTAAGTAGATCACTAAGAACTATCGATAGGCGGGAAATCAAGACACTTCGATTGTACTCAGCGTGCGGACCGGTCGTAAACAAAAGGAAGTAATAAAATGTATAAAAAGTATAATAACTGACTGAGCAACCAAGTTTTTGTCCATTTCTCGGCTTTCCATGGGCCTCCTACAAAACGGAGATCATGTTGGCTGTGCTAATGCAATCATTTTTCACTCACATTGAAAGTGTTAAACAGTTAAGACGAAACTGAATAAAATCATTTAGAAAATTTAAAAAATCTGTGCGGACAAAACCTAAAGGTAAGCGAGATGCTCGTAAATATGCAAGTTTTTCTGAAGTTTTGACAGTCTTCTAGATCATGCCTTTGCGACGAAGCATTAGGAATGAACTTGCTGCCACCCAAGGTTATACAAGTAGCGCCGTACAACGTCCTGCAACCCACCGTGCTGCCACCGCCACCCGAAATGCTACTAGTAGCGCCGTACAATGTCCTGCAACCCACCTTGATGTTAGTGCTGCTGAACAGCGTTTTCACCTTGAAGCTCGACAAATGTATTGGCGGATGAATGCATATGACACTGAACTTCAAAATATCGCCTTAGTTCCACGGCCTCTACCCTGAAGCAGGCCACAGGGTCTGGAGCGTTTTCCTTCGCCGCAGTCTCGGGGCGGCGGCGCCAAAGGACGTCTTGGTCATGAGCTGAACGAAATAATGCATGCACAACTACGATATCCATTGGGGTCGTCAGGATTGGGATCTGCTAGCAGCGACATGATCGATAGGAGAACTTTATCTACAGTCAAGATAGACGACAAGTTGTGCGATAGTATGTCCAGGCACTTTGAATTAGATATATTATTTCCACCAAACTACCCGCATGCCCCGCCTCATGTACAATTTACGACTCAGATTTACCACTGCAACATAACCCCGCCACTGGTGATCAGTGATCAGTGATCAGTGATCAGTGATCAGTTATCTGGAAATAATATATCTAATTCAAAGTGCCTTTACATACTTCCGCACAACTGGTCGTCTATCTTGACTGTAGATAAAGTTCTCATATAGATCATGTCGCTGCTAGCAGATCCCAATCCTGATGACCCCGTGGATATCGTAGCTGCCAACATGTACAAGAGGGACCGAGAGCAGCACGACCGAGCCGCCAGAGTGTGGACCACACTCCACGCCATTCCATTAGTTCTAATTTGATAAGCATGCACATAAGGCACAGTAACACCACCCAGAATACTCACATTCATACCCATATTCATACAAATATCAGACTTATGACAATTTTCTGAAGATCTTTAACAAAAACTACATCGTGTGTTCCACGTAATCATTATACATCATCCTCTTCTGAAGATTGTTACATATATACATAAAAGTGTTTAACCAAATATATAAGAAATCGGTGGCCTCTTTCAAAAGCAATGTTGTCTGATTAAATGCATTGGTGGTCTCCAAAATTTTTAAAAGGTACGTGTGAGACGCTGCGTACGCGTCACAACTTTTATACCCGGTACCCAGTAAGAAATTTGTACCTTATTTACTCTTCGAGTACCGGGTATAAAAATGGTACTGAGAACCGTGTTGAGTGGTTAAATTGTCGCCTATATACTGTAATAAAAGCTGGAGATATCGCCGAAATTTCTCTGCAATGTTAAGGTTATTTCTTCCAAATTTGAATTTTGCCTTGATCTACACATAATTTTCATAAAATGAATACAAAACAGAGTATTATAAGCTTGCTTTGAAATCAGCTGTCAAAGAATAAATAATGTTGATTTTTAATCGAATAGATTTAAACCAATTCTAATTACAATTTCCGAATCCTATGAAAAAGCACGAAAATTCTAGCACTATAAAAATGTGTTGTTATTTGGCCTTTGCTAGATTCTCTTACATTATTTATCAACACCTCCTACAAATACTGAAAGTGCTAGATATCCTTTTGTCACTTTTCTTTGTTCCGGTTGTTTGTATGCGGAATAAACACTTGACACATGTGCTGTTTGTTACTCGCACTCAGATTGCCATTGTGTCCCACAACCAAATGGAGGACGAACAGGAATCGCACTTGTTCGTTACTCTTTTTCAAGGACAGCCTTCAGCTGTTGTGTGCTTTTTCGTTGTCACAGGTGATGTGCATTCATGGAATAGATTCAGAGTTGCTGAAATGTGTCGCTAAAATTGGATCTACTCTGAAAAAATTCGACTGCAATGTTGAAGGTAATGCTAATGTGTTTATGTTTCTAGCATTCTGGAAACAAATATTCAGGCACTGAAGTCTTCTCGAATCTTCGACTTACCCGCACTTTAACACCCGGAAAATGAAAGACCTTCATGGGCGGAGTCTCCTTTGGGGTGTATCGGTAGAACTCCCGTCTGCCCTTGTACCACTTCACCGAGTACAGGCTGTCGTCCTCGATGTCGTAGAAGCATTTCAGTATGCCCTTCTCTCCACGCCGCACCGCGTGTGGCACTCGCACCCGTACGTCTCTCAGGGCGCTTGCTAGCTCTGAAATTAAACAATAATAGCAGCAATGAATATAAGCCTTCGAAAATTATATTTAATTATTTAAATCTATAATGCTCTCAGCGCGATGTGGCGGAAAACGGAAAACGGACTAAGTAAACAGCACCCTCGGGTAATATCAAACAAAAATCAACTCGAAGCGACGAACAAAAATCATCGCATTTCCCATTTTAAATTTACAATTTGCCTTTATTTTATTATCAATTTCAATATTTTCCGCTGTTGTTCTGTTTTTGTATCTACATTTTGGTTTACGGCTCTGCGCATAATTTATGACATGCATTTTTTGTTTTGTTATTTTTATTAAATAAATCCCAAACGGATTTTATTGACTCGACAATGCCCGTGACGTTTTAGAAGGCTGTGCGTTGGCGTGAATACTCTTTCGGCGTGAAGAGTTTATTTAATATGTAGAATATTAAGTATCTACAGCTAATAACAAAAGTTAAGGCAAAGGTTAAGGCAAAGAACGATATACAGATGCGGTAGAAAATATTAAGAAGTTTCGTAAATGTTCCACAACGAAATTTTATTTGTCTAATTACGCACATATATTTTACATGAAGTTAGTGTATGCCAATATCGACTTCAATATGATGAGAACAAGAACAATTTTAATATCTATTCAGATCACGTATTGACATGACTTTCGGCATGGTTTATGCCACAAATCTCTAACTGACTGAAGCCCTACAGACCTCTGGTCTACATATTTCAACAGCATATACTCGTGCTTATACATATGTACATATGTACGTTACCCGCTACTGACATTCGTGCACATGTGCGATGCCTCGTTTTATTGTCAGTGAGCTCTCTTTTTTAGGCCCAGGCCATGCCATTATAAATCAGCTTATAACCAACAGAGAGCAAAAAGTATCTTCTTCCCGATTCCACACCCTTCACCTTTTCGAATTTATTGCCTTGCCCCAATAAAATATGAATAAATCGTTGCCTGATTAAGTGTGATGAAATTAAAAATCCCGTTTGCCCACTCAATGGAGAATGGCATAAAAGTTGTTCAACGTCCAAAGCCGATCAAACATTTGTCGGAATATTGTAAGCCTTTTTTCTTTGGATGTACTTTAAATTGTTTAAATGTATGAGCCGATGATGGGTATTAAACAGTTTATTAAAATGTATTAAAATGAAACTGAAAGGAACATCAAAGAAGAGGACTTTACCAGATCAAAATAAAACATTAAACATTAATTTTAAAGGTGTTTAATTAAATTATGAAAGGTTAGGTGGGATAACCGAGCCTCTGGCTCCAAAACTGGGAGCAACCTTACCTTATACATTAGGTATTGATTGATGGAGGTATTTCTACAACAGAATAAAGTTTCACTCCCATACAGGATATCTGAAACTGAAACTACTATGACTACCATTTCGCTGTATTTCTGATGATTCTTGTTACAGTTTTTATTCCCCTTCAACTGAATGCGTCCATAAAAATTGCGATTCAATTAGAAACAATAAAATTTTAATTTGCACGGCGTCGTGGTGCAAGTGTCACAGGGATCCACATCATGGACGTAATCGGAGAAGTCATACTCCGAGCTGGTTAACTCTTGGGAATTGATTCGGGGCCTCGGACGTGCTCTTCTTTTTATAGCTCCTGCTGTCCTAAGAATTTTGATATCGAATATAGTCAAAAAGGGTGGGGGTGGATGAAAATATGGTGGCGGGGATGGGTAAGAGAGAGAAGGACCAGGTGGTGGCATTTTCGGGTTTCTCGGTATTTTTGGTGGTTTGTATTTTTTATCGATGGGGTAGGGAGGAAGTGTTTCCTGAGGAGGTGGAAGAGTAAATGGAGGAAGTGTAGGAAGTGTAGGAAGTGTAGGAACTGTTTGATTTAATGGATATAGAAGATGCAGTGGAAGATATCCAAGATATGTATGATTTTCAGGAGGTGGAGGATACTGAGGATATCCTGGGTAACCAGGTGCTGGGGTATGTCCTGCAGAATCAGTTCCGTAACATTGTTCAGCGCTTTCCGTTGGATGGCATAGTTGGGGGTACACCTGGCTACGGCCGGAGTAACACTTTTCCCCTGCATGTGAGTATGCCGCCTCATACACGGGATTCAAGTGGGAGACCACCAAAGTGGTGCAGCTATAAATGCACTTCAGCAGCTGATGCGTCATTTGACCAATGGTGAAGCGACTGATGGCGCATCCAAAACGATCACACCGATCCCGTACCATTTGTAGAAAGTACGATGTTCTGTGTGCACCATAAATATTTCATTTAAAAGTGTGTATATCCTGGACATTCTGCTTACCCAGCTGAAGGATCTTGCAAATGCTGAGCAAGTGCACTGCTTAACTGACTGGTCCAGCTCTCCAGCTGTTTTCTTAGTAAAATAGTGCTGGGCTGAATGCAGTGAGAGCTTTCCAAAGCTTCGTTCTGGCCGGGCCACCAAAACAAAGGCGTTGAGACACACGAAAGCTTATTCAAGTGACACAACCTTACGGCCGCATCGGCCACTTTCGCCAGTTCCACGTCCCACTGAATTGTCAACATTCGCGCTGCCCTGGGCAAATCCGTAAATCCACCTGCTACTGTGTTTCTCAAATCATTATGAACATGCGTGATCATGTCAATGTCATTTTTAGTCATTTCCACAAGTTCTGAAGCCGCGGGACAGGGGCTGTAAAATCTCTGCAATAATCTCTCCTAATTGATGGGCACGATGTCTATAGGATTTGCACTTACCCCTTGATCTTTGCAAAGTATGTGTTGGAGCCCCGGCTCGCACAACCTTTCATCGCACCACTTATTTGCATTAATAGTCCACGGCAAAGAGAGCAGCAGCCACAACCACATTATGGCAGGTGGTTGTAGACTCTTACTGCTAAAACGTGTTTCCATGGCCGTATCTTATATTCATGTTTTACTGGACCATGGACAATTGCAAACGGATTTACTACTAATTAAAAGCAATCATACTTTAAGTTGCATGTTGTTGTGGTGCAGGTGTCACAGGGATCCACATCATGAATGTAATCGGAAAAGTCATACTCCGCGCTGGCTAGCTCTTGGGAATTGAGTCGGGGCCTCTGCCGGGATCTCTTTCGAGATGGTCCAGCTGTTCGAGCTGTCCTGAGAGTCCTTGGCCCCATAAAGGGAGGCTGGTGAATGTAGTATGGTGGCGGCGATGGGGCTGGAAAGGCAGGACCAGGTGCAGGCACAGTCGGGTTTTTCGGTATTGGTGGTGGCTTGTAATTTTTATCCGGTGGGTAGGAAGGCATTGTACATTGAGTGGGACAGTCTCCAGGTGTAGGTTGTACAGGATATGGACGTGGCTTGTCTTCCTTAGTTGCGTTGCATGGCGCGGCGCGTTCTCTCTTGTGGCACAGGTTGGGGTAAGCTTTGTTGGTGCCTAACTGACAGTCTACACCTGAGTCTGCCGACGTCACATACACGGGATTATAAGGGGTGGATATTTCCATGGTGCAGCTATAAATGCATTTCATTAGCTGATACGTGATTCTATCTGATTCGGTAAAGCAAGTGACGGCGCATCCAAAACGGTTACATTTATCGCGCACCATTTGAAGGAAGTAAGCCGATGTTTGCCTACATAATGCATTGAATTCCATTAAATATAATATGTATAGCCACGCCCATGTATGTTCCAGACGTGCTTACCCGGACAATGGTAATCCCGTGCATAGTTTCCCTGCCTCTTCCAGTCCTCGATTTGCTTCTTGAGTATAACCTTGCCGGGCCACTGGCAGCTTTTGGCTTACATAGCTTCATTCTGGCCGGTATACGAATATTCTGGCGTTGTGGCACAAGAAAGCTTCTTCATTTGACACATCCTCATCGGCCACTTTCGCCAGATCTAAGTCCCACTGCATCGTCAACATTCTGGCTGCCTTGGGCAACTTCATATAGCCACCTGCTCTTGGTTTCTTAGCTCGTTATGCTCCTTCGTAATCAAATCAATTTCTTCTAAGGTGAAGGGTATGATCGTTGCTTCCTTCGGACACGAGCTGTAAAATTGCTATCATCCCACTCGAATGGTCATCTCCTTGTCGATGATCAGGATATGTGCATGTGATTTGTACTCGCCCCTTCATCTCTGCAAAGTACGTGTAAGCGGTTCTGGTCGCACAACCTTGAATCGCACCACTCATTTTCTTCACTTTTTGAAATAATAATTCACGGAAAAGATAGCAGCAACCACAACCTCATTTTGGCTGTCAGGTGGCTGTCGATGTGGCCGCAGACTCTGGCTCTTCCAATAACATTTATTATGGCCGTATCTAATATTTGCCATGGCCAATTGCTAACTGATTTGAACGCTTCAACGACATACTATAATTCTTTAAAATTCTTTACAGGATTTATTTGCTTATGAAACACGGATCCATACTCCATATTCCTCTTTTGATTTACTTTCATTAATCCCTTTCCATCCATACACACTTAAGCATCCATCCAAACATGGTTAACGATCAGATTCGTAGTTAAACAGTCGCCTTGCCCTCTCCCTGCTTCCATCCTATTCCAACTTTCCTTCATGGTTCCCGTTAATTGAGAGACACCCCGACTCCAGTGTCCTTTAACGCCTTTTGCTGGTGTGCGGCTTGTCTGGGGTCTCGTTTCATGCCACACTAAATAGACAAGGTTGTAACCATCCGGCTGCAAATGAATGTCCAAACAATCAAACACCCCACCCACTCACCGCATCCCCCTGTGCGGGGGCGGTGGTGCATTGTAAATCCCATCAAATAACTGTAATTGCAAAGTTTTTACTGCTAGACACGAGCCGCACGCCTACCAACAGCAACAGCCATAGCCATAGACATAGCCAGAGCCACATCGGGTCGTGGCACAAGCGTCTGTGCCAAGAACAATGCACATGCAACCCGGCCATTTGTCTGCGAAGCGGAAGAGTACGAGAGGAGCTGGAGCTGGAGTCGACTTCGGGAGGCGCCTCACAACGTGTGCAATAAATATGAATAACGAGCACAACGTGAGTGGCACACAAAGTAGAAACGAGACCGCACTCCACGCTGGCAGTGAAAAGGCAGCTCCAGCCCACAAAACAGAGCACTCGGCAAAACGGACTGGAGTCCCTTTGGGGAGCATCCCACCTCATTGTTGGGGCGACACGCGGCAGCAAATATTTGCAGTGCCCCAAAAGAGGGACGAAGGTCCCTGGTCTTCTGGCGTTCGTTTTTGTTTAAGTCTTGTTTATGCAACATGCATGGCATATTTTAAGAAGCTGACAAGCTGTGGCAAGCCCGAGTGTGGGTCCAGCTCGAGTGTCAAACAAATGTCCGGCAGAGTTCTGTTGCCACAGTCCTGCGTGATTTGCACCATCAAACCACCGACAGTGTGGGATTGCAATGGAGAAATCCACTCACCCAGAGTGACTTTAGTTAACAGATTCCTCAGAGAATATTCCTGGATCTTCTTTCCTTATTTATTCACTGATCCACACGGGATTTTTAAGTCTCTTTGACACTCTTCTAAAACCCCTACCTAACCTCAGATCAAGTTCCACTTCTTTTACACTCTTTAGTTGAAAAAATTATGTCACATTCTGTCAAACATATTTCCTTGCCCCACTGCCACTTAATTAAAACTTTAAATACAAAAAAAAAGAGAAGAGAAAATTAAACTTTGTGACCTGAACTTGCACATAATTTCCATTCCACATGAACTCCCTGGCCGAGAGAACAGCATTTGCCTGACTGACCACACAGTTTTCCCGAAGAAACTGGCGAATAGCTATAAGTTTGCCCGTTCGAGAGGGAGTCCTGGCCAAGTGAAAACTTTGCAACGTCCAAGTTTATGGAGCGTGGCTTTTGAAATGTGCACAACGTCGTGATACACTTATGCAACAGATGGGCAAAGCGCCTCCGACTCTTGGCCAGAACATGGAATTTAAATTTTCTATTAGCAGTGCAGTGCAGCGAAGTTCACAAAACTTTTGGGCAGCCCTTGGTGGGAGTATTTCAGACTTGCCGAACAATTACCCTTCAACCCAGCTAGCCTGTACGATTATATCTGCATCTTTGACACTGTCAGTGTCGGGAAATCTGCAAAATCTGGCGCCAAATTCATCATCATTTGCAATGCCAGTGCGAGGACATTAAAAATTGAAAATCATACGAAAATCGTAACTCGAGCTGACAGTAAATTCAACCCCAAGAACACAGATCCGATAGCTGAATGGGGACCGACCCGCGTATGTCTTCACTCCCGCTAGACCGTATCGAGCACTATTTGTGTACAGTCATTATTCAGTCAGATTTGACTTCCATCTGGGGTTATCAGACCACCCCACAGACCCACGATTCCGAAAGCCCCATAGAGGGGGGGGGGGGGGGAGGTCCGGTTTTTTAGGGGGGCTTTGCGGCCATGGTGGGGGGGGGGCGGGCTTCGTGTTTGCGCGCGCAGGGCCGCTTTCGGGGCGGGCNTGGATTGAAAAATTGTTGACAATTTCTGCTTAATGCATTTTTACGTCACTTCTTTTGGTTGGCGAAAATGAATGCTGCTGCTGTTGCTGCCGTTGCTGCTGTTGCTCCATGAGCCCCGGCTCCGTTTGTTTGTCCTCCTCAAACACAGGCACTCACTCAGTCAGTCAGTCAGTCAGGCAGTCCACTCCTCCCATATGTGCGCCTGCCACATGTGCAGCACTCGTTTCATGCATTTCCAGTACTAGCAGCTCGGAGTTCTGACCAAGTCGGTTATCCCTGTTGTCTTTGCCGCCTCGTTGGAGCCATTCAACGACAATATTCATGTCTCCCAGCGCCCTTTGTGTCGCTCTGTCTCTGTGTCTATCCCCCTTTTGTGTTGATTATGAAATTTAAGCACAAAAACCTCCTGCCAGACTGGCTGCCTGCCATGTCCTCCCTTTCTGTTTATTCTCATAGTCGAGGACGCTCCTTCACCCATCAGGCATCAGGCATCACCCATCAACCCTCTCCACAACCCGCTTTAAGAGTCGTGAATTTGTCTCGGTTTTGGTGTTTGCCATTTAATGGCACATTTCCCGCTTTTCCTCACAGACAAATTGTAGTCGTTTCGGTTGGGGGCTTTTCATTAAATTTAATGCATTCAGTTCTGTACTTGTGACCAGATTTTTTTGAATAGAAATGTCAAGAGCAATAGCATTCAGTTCAACATTGAAAATGTCCGTTGGTAGAATATTTTACGGCAGTGTTAGTTATGTACCCAAATGTTTTCTTAGCAAAGAAGTGCATTTTTTCAGGTAAAAATAATTTTGAAATAGTTTCAATCATTAAATAAAAATAATATATGGACAGTCGTTGTCTAAGGCAACATCCAATAAAAATGATTTGGCATCAACAGTTTTATCATTACGAGTTTTCCCTGTCCTCTAGTCTACTTTTGTGTCTTCTCTGAGAAAGTGAAAGAAGCCATAAGAAAGTGTCCAAGATCCAACAAGTTCTAGCCACTCGTCTTTAATGGCATACCCAAAGCCAAGCCAACATCCTTGGCCATTTATTTAAAAACTAAATAAGACAAGCATCGCTAAATCGCCGACTAAGCTCATAAAATCCAACGAACAAGTGCACAAGTGTAAAGCAACGTGGGAAATGTTCAACTATGGGGAAAGGGAAAAAGATTGAAAGTGGAAGGACACCAAGGAGTGAGCTTTACTGCTTTACAGTACGAGAATAGTTTGGTGTGGGTCACGAGGTGAAATGCCATGAAAAAGTGCAAAGAATCAAACAAATGAAAGAGAGACACTTGCACACAGACTGAGGGGCCGAAGTAGAGCCATAAATGAAATAAAAAGCAAGCCCCGAAAAATTGCAGAGTCTAGTGAGAGAAAAAAAAGCGTTTCATGTGTCGTCTCTTCGTACTTGCACCCTCTGCACCCTTACAATCCTTTTGGCGATCCGGCCCCACCGTACACCCACGACTCTCTCTCTCACTCTTTTGTGCATCGTTTCTAATCTAACACTGAAAATTGTGCAGGAATTTGTTGCAATGAGCTTTTTATTATCCATTTTCGCTCCTCACCCTGTCTCTCACCCTTTCACACACACTCACAACCCCTCTCACACACACAGGCGTGTGTGCCTTTGTGTATGTTATACTTGGCCTTCTTTTTTTTTAGGGAGGATTTCTGCACGCTTTTGCATTCCTTTCCGATCCAAGAGTCGAAAATTGCAGTGCCAGCGTGTTTCCTCGTATGGAGGTGCACAGGTGAAAATGTATACTCCTCGCATTCGCATTGTGACCGTGTTGCCACGCCTCCACCTCCGCCTCCAACCAAACAGCATACAGTGCCAGAGCCACAGCCATGGGCCCGCTCTTTGGTGCAAGCCCATGGCCCCGGCCAGACGTTCAAATTATTTGAGGATTTGTTAAATTTATTTTTTTCCTCTCTGCCATTCTATTTTATTTTTTTATACAATTTGTCGTGGCAAAGCGGACAAAATGGGGCACACAAGTGTCTGTTAAATGGTCGTTTAGGCCGAGGGGGACTCGGCTTGCCTTGACGAAGCGGCTCCAAGGCGCCCTTTTTTTCGTTGGCGAAAAGAGCTGCTGACTTGTTGACCTGTAAATAACTTGAGTTTAACGAAGAGATTAACGTTCCACTTGGCTGAGATACGATGGGAATATGGGAGAATAAAAAGAACAGAACAGCGGACAGTGGGTGGTGGAATGGAAAATATGCAGTTATGGAATTGTGTAGTTAAAGGGGAAATAGGGGAAAGAATTTATTGTATAATTTAGACATTTAGTCGATATGCAATATTTTCTTTGAATGGGTCTCATCTATTTTTTTACTGTGCTTAATTTATGGCCGTATGAAAATTTCCTCCTACATACATCAAAATGATCATAAATATTGTACCATAAAATCTATTGCGGAGATCAGATCAGGGAAAACTGCAAAGCATTACCAAGCAACCCCTATGCCATTTTGTTTATCTTTATTTTGTAATCTCCCCCACTCAATGCAATTTAGCGACTCCACCCCGCAATTCACCCTTAGGATTA